AAAGAGGCCGGCCACATCACTTCATTCACGGGTTGCTCAAACCCAACCCCGAATGATAACACCTGCAGGGCGGTCGGCCACACGACGCTGACGACGGGCTGGTTAAAGGATTTCCCAAAGGATAACTCCGTCAGGGAGGCCGGCCACACGACTCCGGCGATGGGCTGGTCTAAAATGCCGTTAAACGATAGCTGCAGCAAGGAGACCGGCCACACGACCTTGGCGGTGGGCTGGTTGAAGTTACACCCGAAATATAGCTTCTCCAGGGAGACCGGCCACACGACGTCGGCGATGGGCTGGTCGAACTTAGCCTCAAACGATAGCTGTTCCAGGGAGAGCGGCCACACGACTTGGGCGATGGGCTGGTTGAAGGCCTTCCCAAACGATAGCTGCTCCAGGCCGACTGGCCATGACGTCGTGTTCACGGCCGAGTCCAAATCAACAGCCAACCGTTTGAGCTTCGATTGCAAAAGCACCGATCCCAGTCGTTCTGCTGACAAACATCCCAATACCCACGTCATGCCAAAAGCCTGTACAGCCGGTACGCGACTCGGGGTGGGAGACCACAAGCTTGTAGGCGTGCGTCCATCGACGCGCATGTGCAAGGTCTGGACACTTCTGCACGCCTCGCAAAACGCTAGGGACGCAAGCTGCAGCTCCAGCGTAGAAGCATACCAACGCGTTACTTGTCCCGTCGCAAGCCTGTTCCAATGCGACGATGAAGGCATCCACGCACTCGCTCATTCCTGATCAATAAAGTGGATGACAGATGAACAAACACGGAGAGACGCGCGAAAGGTGTTGTGGGCGTAAGAAAAAAGCTAGCTGCGCGACTGAGGGGCTCAAGTCGGACACACGGAAGAAGGAACGATAGAAGACGGTTGGTCCGACTCGATGGTATCAAGATCACGGCCTTCAGACACCTGACAAAAGAGCATGCCGTGGGCATCATGCAAACACAGCGGGGCCCCGCGATTGACCACTTGCTTGGTTCATGGCCAACACTCATCCTTTGGACACTCCTAGCTCGGGCGGGTACCATACCATTCGGGAGGCCTCTGAACGACTCACGGCAAACACTCACATACATCTGGATTTTGCGGTGAGGGCATCGAAAGGGTGAAGATGTGTGGTTGTTGTTTGTGGCGCATTTGACCAGTCTTCACTGCCATGACGTAGCCGTCTGGGGGATAGAGTAGTCTTTGTACCACTCAGCCGTCGGGAATTGGCAACATAGGGTATATATCCGTGGTGAACAAGAACAACATGGGGGGTATCCTTTTCGTCGGCGAGGAACGCGACCCCTGGCCCCGGATAAACTTGGAACAAATGGTGTGTATTGGAAAATAAATGCGAAGTGTGTCAGTGTGTAGGTGTGTAAAGAAGTCGAGGGAACTTATTATTAGCTGACAGTCCAAAAATGTTAGAGGCCCCCTTTTGAGCGGGGATGAAACCACTATATTAGAGGACCCCGTATTATCGGTATTCAAGGATAACCCTGCAACAACGGGTCGAGGTCGTGACAACCTAATTCGACCCTCAAATGTCGTAGCCCCCTCTTACACCTCAATCAAGCTTATATCGGAACCATGACTTAGTTTCGTTTGTTTTCTTCGCAACCCCCCTTTCTCCAATCCAATTTATTTGCAGCATCAACCCAACCAACCAACCAACCCCTCACTTCCGGTAGTCATCGCAGTGACTGCTTTTCACCGATGCGCAGTGGGAGTGGCTGCGAGGGTCCACCTGCTTCAGGATCATCTGCACCTGTTTGTTGGTCAAAACAAAAAAAATAACAGGTCCATTTTGATTCATGCGTGCCTTGTAAATTTCGGTACGACGACGGAAATGCAGCTCAACAATACAACAAATATGTAGAATACAAGGCGTCCCTCCGGAGTGGGGTAAAGAGAGCACCGCGGCAAGGGGTGATGCAAGAACGTGCAAAAAGCTAAAATATTTCGTATTTTCCGGTCTCATAATTTCTGTAAATACAAGGGTTCGCGTCATTTTTTGGAGGTCGGGGCGAGCTGATTAATCGGCAAAGAGGCGAGCTGATTAAGACAAAGAAAGATCCTTCTCCAGGCCAAGCTGCAAAAAATGTTTGGTCCCTGGATTTTCGTTGGTTGGAAGCCCGCATGCCGCGCGCATGTGTAATCGTGTCACTGCTGTAGTATGCATATATATATATGTGTGCCGCATGTGGATATATGTAATGTGCGTGCCGACCTCACAACCTCAGTCTCGGCGGTCTGCACGGAGATAGATGGTGTGCATTGCTCAGCATGTATGTATGTATATGTCTGCTGACACCGCCGCGACATACATACATACATGGCTCCACTTGCTGCTGGAAACTACAGGTGCTGCTAACTACTGGCTGTATGCTATGTGTATGTATAGTTCCGCAGTCGGAAGCAATCATGGCCTGCAGAACGTGGTTCAGCAGTATTATTCAGCAGTTCTTTGGGGACGACTACTACTGCTGTATACACCATGTTCACCTCACGCTTGTTCTACCGGACGTGTTTTTTTGTTCCCATCACATCGTGTGCGTTTCAGGTTTGCGTGGAGGCAGAGCCTGGGTCGCGCAACAACAACAGGAGGAGGGCCACACAGAGTACTTATATTTTCTCCACCGTGTCCTTGTGTGCTAGGCGGGAATTGGAATCCAGCAGCGTGTAAAATATTATCAAGCTGCCAATAGACACTGCGCCGTGTCCCCTGTGAAGGTTACATTTTACAATACACGACACAACGGAGGGTTTCTCCCCGATATTTTGTCGTTGACCCAGTAGAGAACTACAGGGGATGTATTGTAAAATGTAAGTTACCTATACAGATGTTTTTGTACTTAGCACCAGCTTGCATCACTGGTATAAATCATCAGTGTAAGACTTTAAAAGACTCGAAATAAGTCCAGTACCCAGCCGGTTTCCCTTTACTCACTGAAAAGACTCCACCACATCCCGTTCGACTGTGGGTATATCTCGAATGGGTAGTCTTTCTGTGTGTGTTTTTATTATTCCTTAATCATCGTTGTGACCCACGATTCATTCGGTACTGTTTGTGCGGCTCGATTTACTTGTGCGCGCCGAGATTCATTCCAATTTTTTCTATCGTAGTCCAAACGACACGGTGCGAGGTACCAACGCTCCAGGATCCCCACATGCAGAAGCAGACACAATCATCAGCCAGACATTCCGGCGTATCCATCCGACTTTCCAACGAATGAATGTAGGCATATTCCAGCCCTCCACAGGAAAGGAAGCGCTTCTTTTCTCTGTCGGGCGGGTAGCCGACAGAGACAAACGACTCACAATTCGGGGTTGTCACCTATCTATCCTGTGATGATTCACACGCCGAGTATAATCGATACATACATGTGGGAAGAGGAAGTGTAGATGGCTCCGTTCGTATCTGTTGAACAATTCACACCCAGGGTATGTATGTCTCTCATTCATATTTATAGCTGGTCGGGAAAAACGAACACGATGCCTATGTACTTGTCAAGTGGGGTATCATATGAAGGCCATACCATCTCGCAATCGACGGGTTGGGCAGCGTCGCATCCTACACCACCAGGTACCAAGTTACGACGCCCACACAAATAATAAGCTGTCGGAAACCGTAACGCGCGGCAAACAAAACCTTCCCGCAAGCCGACAACGTCCATGCTTGACCTCACCAAAACTTGTTATTTCGCGCTGTCATTGCAGCTCGCTCTCCTTGCTCCGAACGCCGACAGACATGTTCCCGAACTCCGCGAAAAATGAACAAAAACATGAAAAAGTATCCCTCGAATCGTGCACGAGATCTCCCGAAACGCATCCCGAACGCAACCAATCCTCCAAGAGGCAACAATCCCCATGCGGACCAAAGACTAACATGATTCCTTCTACTGGAACGCCCCCCGCCCCCGCCCCCGTCACTCCCGAAGTATAACCCAGACAAAGAGCAAAACAAATGATGTGTCCAGCACGTACCGGGAAGGCCCCAAAACACGCGTTGGCACAGGATTCTACATGATGACTGGATACGCCCACCGACAACTGCCTGGACGGGATTATATGAAGAAACAATGGCTTACGGCTCCTGTCGTCCTCGGAATGGCGAGGACGACAAGGCCAACCAAAACATCACCGTCGACTATCTGGTTGCAGCTACAGCTATGGCGACAGCTCCAGGTGGGACGCACCGACGCTGCGCCCACAGCGGCTGCGCCGGCGAAGACAAGCACATGCGACGGATCCAACAGGTGCTTCCGAAAAACAGCTGAAGCACGTGCCAAACAACGCGGCAAAGGGACATCTTCGCGATGTATGTATGGTATTGTGCTTACCGCTATCCTCCAACCACAAGCGATTTATCAGTGGTAACAGAGCGAAAGAGGCCAGTCCGTTCATGTGCGCTTTGAAAACTTGAGCCAAGGGGAGATTATTGCTCACAAAGTTCCCCCCAATAGAACCGTCCATGACGTCGGACATGTGAAATAACGTCTCGTTCGAACTCTTGCAAGCTGGCCCGTCCGGTTCACGAACCGAAAGCAGACCCTGACAAAACAAGATCAAATCCAATCCTTTCACCTACCCAGCGTGGTGCCAGGAGAAAACAAACACGCAAAACGCAAAATACCAGCACAAAGAAATAAATCGGCAGCGTGCCTGATCCTCGACAATTAGGTACATATCGACCGACAGACGAAAAAAAAAAAAAACAGAAAAAAAAAAGTACAAATATTGTAATGTGTGTGAAGTTCCCAGCCGCCCGCGAGATTAAGTCCGCCAGGCTTGCCATGCCCCACAAGACCAGCCCGTGGGTTGTCTAGTTTTTGTGCCAACGCACGCCGGAGACGCAGCAGCGAGACCCCCGCTTCTCTATCGCCGCCGTGCAATTTACACCCAACCCACCGCGCCGTAGTTGCCCGCACCCAAACTCGAGGGGAGAGGGCCTCGGCCAGCCGGCTACGCCCAAGCAAGAGCAGCAGCTCAAAGATAGCTGTGGCAGTACCACTCAATACACGTCCATCCATGCGCCTCGAGACCCCGGACCACCACAAACCGAGGCACCACTCTATTCGGAAATGTAGGGACCATTGCGGTATTCGAGCTTGTATCCGACTGACCCTTATACTTTCGGAAAGAGTGGGTACGTGACGTTGTCAAACCAAACACTTCCTTGGCACTTACTGGGCCCTACACGGTACATTTGACTCTGTCGCTCCAGAGGAAGCACGGCGGACAGGGTCGTCTGCCTGTCGCCTACCGCCCTATCAAGCAAGTGAGGCTCTTCTCGACGGCAACCTTGGCGTGATTTCGGCGAGCTTGCCCGCCCTGTAGTGAAACGGAGAATGCACGCGGGGGGGGGGGACCTCAGTCGAGAGAATCACACGCCGACGACGGGATGAGGGCCGAAACAGACAAAAAACATGCCGAAAAAAGAAATTGGCCAACACTAGTATGTGGCAAAAAGGCGGCAGCGCCTGACAGTCATGTATTTTCATTTCCATGGACTTTCCCGTTGTTGTTCTAGAACGCTGGAAACTAAAAAAATTGACGTCCGGAGAGGTGGAGATTTCTCTGGAATATTCTCTAGCAAAAATTTGAGAAAAAACTTGGTTGAATAGCTTGCGTGACCACAGGAACATGTGTCGCTTGCCTTCCAAGAGTACTGTACAAAAGAACAGGAGGACCCTGAACAGACGCAGAAGGGTGTCTCGTGTGAATAACGTCAGTGACAAGTAACAGCACAAGAGCAACACTTGCAAGTAAGACGGGGAGCACGGGGAATTTAGAACAAAAGCACGCCGAGAACAAAAAAAAAAACTCCAAGTCTTAATCAAGAGCGTGCAACGACCCCAAAAGCCAACAGCGAGACAGAAAGTACAAACGACCACAAGCGCACCGTCACGTGTTCCTCCGCGGACCCGGCGTGCGCCCCAGGAGACCGCGTGTTGGAAGGCCTTCCATCGGAGTTGTGCACGATTTCCGTGATGGACACGACCTTTCTCCCGTACTCGCGGGCCTCGTCCTCTCGCCCTGGCGTACAGTATTGACATCGCGTACCAGCAACGAGGAGGGAAAAACTCAGGGTACGACGAGAGCAGCGCGGGGCACAGCTCCGTAATTTTCACGACGAAAAAAGGCGAGAGCTTATGGTCGTTACGCCTCAAGGTTTGATTCCGGCATGGAAAGACCCGATCCATCCGTTAAACGTCTCGAGGAGGGGAACTACGGGAAACACGCACCACAAATATCTCATGGGTTTCTTGCCTACCAGAAGCGGCATCCAACAGAGAGAACAAACTCTCACCCGCGCTTTGCAGGAGCAGCGACAGCAGCTGCATGCTCTGGGCCACGGACTCGTGGTTCTCTCCATAGGCGTCCATTCGGATTTGTAGGGCCTCCAGGTGGTTCCCCTCCGCCTGTGAAAAAAAACAAAAACGCCACAAGAACCGGTGGAAACCTCGCAATAAATGGCGGGGGCGTTGACCAATAATGGATTGGCTTTCGGAGCAACTTGAACCTGTCGTAAATGCACAACAACAACAACAACAACAAAATAGAGCACCAAAGAAAGACCCAGGGTGCATCCACACAGCTGGCGCATGCATGCGGTACTCAGAAAACCAGCCCAAAAATCAGAAAACGAAGCTCCAAGAAACAAAACAAAACACCCAGATGCAGCGAACAGCAGCCGTGCAGGGTCTCCACCCGAAGCGTAGCTGCCAGGCGCGCAACGAACCGTACTGTATCGACTTGAACGCGGACAGCAAAATGCTGTTGGGGGGGGGTGGGGGGGGTAGAATCGTCGCAAATCAGCTTCGGTGTGTATGTATAACGCATTTTTTCATTCTTCCCTTACCGCTGCCAGGTTCCCCTGGGCGCGCCGCAGCTCCCCAAGGTCTGTCAGGGAGTCTGCTACGCCCGGCTTGCCGTCCCCCAGGATCTGGCGGTTCAGTTCGACCACCTGACAAAAACGACGACGGAAAAAAAAAAAAAGCAAATGACACCATGTTGTCGTGGGTTGTTCCGTGGTTGCATCCCCCGAAATAATGGTGAGCTCATAAGTAGCGCAAACAGCAACTCCAACGGGCCACGAACTTATCTCGCCTCGTGTAGGACCGACCAAAAACCTTAAGGCAGCCTATCTCGGCCTTGTGTAAGACCAACCAATATTAGAGAGGCTTGTCGCCCCTGGTGTACGATGAATCAGCATTTAAAAGAGCTTCTCATATCTCGAGCAAAATACGAAATACCAACTAACGTCAACAGAGCTCGTCACACCTCGTGCAAAAGACCGATCAAGAGCAGAGGAGATAGCCCGTCACCCCTCGTGTAAGACCAATCAACCCGAACAGAGTTATCACGCCTCACGTAAGACCAATTAGGCTTAAAAGAGCGTCTCACACCTCGTGTAAGACCAATCAACCCCAACAGAGTTATCACGCCTCACGTAAGACAAATTAGGCTTAAAACAGCGTCTCACACCTCGGGGAAAAGACCAATCAAGAAAAAAAAAGCCCATCTCCCCTCATGCAAGACCCCCGCAACACCAAAAGAACAAACTCTAATTGAAAACATCAACCAACCATGACAACGCCGAGAGTTGTTGCACACGCACGCACCTCGATCAGGATAGGCTCGGCGTCTTGGTAGTGCTCCTGCTTCTCGTGTGTCTCCGCGATCCACGACAAGCAGGCCACGGTCTCCGAGTGGACACGTCCATGCTCCTGTCACCATGACCAAGACGTACAGTACCAAACAAAAAAAAGTAATGTTTTCGTGAGGTATTAAAAAAGAAAGAAACTCACGCACGGGATGATACGTATGAAACCCGTGAACCGCAAGCGTTACAGCAGCGGCATGCAAGAACGACACATATCGCGATGCTTCCCTTGAAGCTACACCCGGGAAAACCAAAAAGCAACAAATGCTTCACACTCCGTATACTACATACGACACAAAATAGACTACATCCGTCAGCGTAGCGTGTCACACATCCGGCAGGCTATACACGTTAATTTGAAAAAAAAAACACCCAGGAAAGTCTTCCCAGCAGGGTTATCCAGCGTAGTCCCTGTCCGAAAACTCACGGTCGGGGGCTCCTACTGGAAGGAGGCGTCGTGCAGACAAAGGAACTCACCCACACATCGCCTGCCTGCTGCTCACGAAGCTACACCGGTGGACATAAGAAACAGCAACCGGGAAACGCGTCCAACCACAGGGCATGTTTCATAACAACATGCTA